ACCTGTATGGACTTGATCTAGATTGCAATGCTTTTACTATTCTGTATACGAAGAGATCATCCAGCACAGGCCCGAAAGACCCACGCTGTCGTGATTTACCGGAGGTCGAATGCCGGGTGGAATGACATATCCGAATTTTATTACATTATGTAAAAATCTATGGCGATTATCTCAGCTTCCACATTACAATGCATCTCACGGGGTAGTATGTTTTAACGAATTATCGGGACAGGCAATAATTGAAAAGTGTACTATTGTGTTTTACATGGCGTTGCCTAATAAGTTCAAATGCTTTGAAGTATTTCTTTTCTTTTCGATACAAAGTGTGATCGAATACGGACGGGTCGAAGATTTTTTGGGAATGGTCTATTCGAATAGGTGGATTTCGTCCCTCGTCACTCAACTGAACTCGTAATGGGCTTACCACATTTCCTATTTTAAACGTAAACAATTTTTCTAAATATAAAAAGTATTTGCAAAAACTCCCGAAAATTTTATTTTACGATTTCCTTTCCTTCCCAACGAATTTAATAATGGATCGTATTAAACAATTTCGTAATTTAATTGTTTAATGCAAAAATTAAGTAAAAACGTGAAATTTTGTAAATAAATACCATTTAGTAAATTTAGCAATTAAATATAAACGATTTTAAGTTAATAATTTTTCGATTATTCTATTATTAAAAAATGAAATATTTTTTTCGAAGACGAGAACGTTTTCTTATGGGGGCGCCACTAGACGATTCCGTGTTCGTCTGCTTTCGAATTTTCGAACAGTTTTAACGTAGCGTTACTCCAAACGGAATATAATTTACGATTTCCGGTAAGTTGCGAGTCCTTGTTTTAAATGTTTTTATAGAAGAGATTAAGTACGCTTTAGTCTGTCGCGAATTGTAGTTGTAAATTTATACAGACGTCAAGTATAATTTTAAGTTAATGTATACCTAGGTAACTAAAATGGCGGCGCTTCGGTTAGTTTATGTTAGGTTAGTTTAATTATACTTTTAGTAGACGTGTAAATGCTTCATTAAGTCTGACCTCTGGCAAAATATGACACGTGACCACACTCTATTTCCCTGACCTTTCACAAACAAAATCAAAATTTTAATAGCATCAATGCCCCTTATATACAAACTACCGTGCCAAATTTTGTTTCTTAATCATTATCCCGATTACGACTCGATTGCTAAAGGAAAAGTATGATGTACTGTACAGTACAGGGGCAAGGCATTACTAATTTGAGGTTGCCAGCATATATTTTAAATTAAATAAATTAAAAAAAATATGATTAATCACGTAGACATTCGATCCACTTCGAATGTGCTTGGAGTGATTTTAATTTAGCCACCAGTATCTTCGCCAGCTTCGACTATCTTAGGCGATGCGAAATCAATTTAGAAAATTAATTAACATTTCGTCGGAATCTTCGTTCGATCAAATTATCCCAGTTTTACATTTACGGTTAGATTCATATTTTTAGCAAGATGGAGTAGCTTTTCGTTTCAACGATTAACAAATAGCTTAATTCTAATATTAAAATGTTGTTTATATTAATTAATGATCGTAACTTTACATTCCAAAAGATGGCGACACAGTCGACAGTAAACTTTAATAATTAGTCAATTTGAATTGGATTAATTAAATTTTTATAAGCGAAAACATATTAGAAGCAGTAATTAGAATAAATAATTCTTACGTAATATACGAGTCGGTTATATCACTCCGGACATCGAAGTGAAAATTGTTCAGCGGTGATTTTTATTATTTACCGAAAGTAAATTATATAAACTTAAACATTGTAAAAATGTGACAAAATTGAAAATACAGTAGAGCGTCGATTATCCGAAAGTCAATCATCCGAAACGTCAATTATCCGAAAGAATTCCAGTCGGCAAATTTAAATTTTTGCCAGTGCTGTGGCGCTGCAATCTTTGGCTATGTCTTGGGCTACTCAAATATTTTACGTTTTCGATACTAAATTAACTTCGGAAGTATAATTTTTTATTGTTTTTATATTTTTCAATACAGTAGATCCCCTATAAGACGGTAGATACGTTCCGTTCTTTATGAATCAATTTTGTAGGAATCATAGTTTACGGACTACGGCTGTTTGAAAGGTTTTCTTTCATAAAATTAATCGATTCTAGACTAATTCGACTCAACATTTCCAAAATACGTATATTTTTTTGAAAATAATCCGTATAAACTACGTTATAAACAAAAAATTGTAGG